TCTATAACCTCAGCTTCTTGGGAGGAGGAATACAATTATTATAACAAAAACTAAGGCTAACCTAGGCAAAAGCACTAGATTCTATCTGAAAACAAACTAAGAGCAAGTGGACTGAAGTGTGCTTAAAATGGCAGAGTACTTGCTTTGTGAGTTTAGTAAGCACAGGACACTGAGTTCCATCCTTTCAGCATGGCAAAAAAAAAAAAAAAAAAGAAAGAATTTTTAAAAATAAATGTAGAAATATCAGTATTATCTCAAATGAGTCACTGTCACTTATTTTTGTTTCATTGGCTACTTGCCAGGGAGAAGCAAGAGAATTGTAAGTTCAAGGACATACAATGTTAACAAGACCCTATCCAAAAGTAAAGCATAAATAAATAAAAGAATAGTTGGAGGCATAGTTGAAGTGGTACAATGCTTACTGCTTATTTAGTCCCAGATTCAATCCCTAGTGAGAGAGAGAGAAAGAGAGAGTAATTCTAGTTAAAAACAAATACATTTCACTGAGTAATAGTCAATGTACTAGCAATAACAATAAACACAGTTGATATCTAATTTCTAAAAGTCACAGTATTTTAATGTTTGTATATTTGGTAAATAATCAAATAGCATCCTCTTGTTATTTAAAGTGCATTGAATTTTGGCATAGTTCTTCCTATGGAACACACAAAGATATTTACACCCTCTCTCCACATTTTGCTGCCTGAGTTTGGTCTCAAGGGAACACAACCCTGAAACATTAAGCCTGCTGCAAATTGCTGTAGGACAATGACAGTATCTTTAAATTCTTTTGTTTCCAGTGGACATAGCCTTAAGTATTGTTCATAAGTCAGCTTAACACAAGGGTTACTTGGTCAAGAGGATGATATTAGAGGAGCTATGGTCCTTGGCTCAGGCATTCTATCTGTCACGATTGAACCTGAGAGTTCAATGTAGCTCTTCGAATTTCAGAGGTTTGCTCCCATGAAAGGAACAGTTTTCTAAGAGCTAATGAAACTCTCAACCTACTAGCTTTTTCACAAAGTCTGGATAATTTCTGCTGAATTGAACTTGTAAGGAAGGAATTTATAACCAGTTCTAATATATTTGAGGCCTAAAGTATATTAGCCTTTCATCAAAGGGAAAGATAAAAAGTAGTATTAATTTGGGTGGATGGTAATTATTTCAGAGCTCATAATTATCCTCCAGTTAACTATAGAGAAATACAGATACATTTTTAATTTCTCATTATATAAATAAGAAGAACCATGGTCAGATCCAAAACTGTAAGCATGCCTCTTCACACATCCTTTGTAAAGGACTTTCTGAGTTATGCTTGTGTTAATCACAAAGGAATTGCATTGGAATTAAATGAGTTCGAAGTTCATGGTCAGGAATTCCCTTTACCTTCCTTAGTCTTGTTGTTTCACCACCGAATCTATTTATGGCCTATAGGAGATATAAAATATAGTAATTACTCTCACTCCCTTTCAGAATGACATGAGGTCTACTTTTCTATTAACTCTAATGAGAGTTATGTGTGTGTTCCTCAGGGAGGAGAGACCAAATCAGGTTTCAAGGTAGAATAAATCACTTCTATATTTGGGTTTTAGTACTTTCATTTGCTTTAGATTGTAACACTTGAAGATACCCACTTTAAACTGCTGGTACTGGAAATGCAAGAGCTGATGTTTAAAAGAAGCTTCAGTTGTGCTTGGAAAGTTGCTAGTGAATATTATTCCTGCTCAAAGGACAACTATTTTACCCTGGGAATCCCCATGGCTCAGCTCAGAGGACTCCATGGGTTCCTAAAAAGCTATGGTCTACTTTTCAGAAGAAATTTAATGTCAACTTCCTTTTTTTATTTCCTTCCACAGTAGTTGCTTTGTATTGAAAGTGTTTTTGCATCCTTAATTACATGCCAGAACAACAACAGCGCCAACAAGGTTTTATTAAGATTACAGAGAAAATAAACCAGAGTTGCTTGGTTAAGAGAGAAGAGAGCCCAAAGCACTGGTTTATTTCCAGCTAGGAAATAAAACATCTTGAAATTGTACAGGGATTAACTGATATCATCCACAAAAGTCACGTCATTCCAGGGGCGCTTCCTCAAAGAAACCCACATTGAATTTCTCAAGTTTGAACCTGCTTCCTCATTGTGATTTACCCTCAGGGTCTTAGACATAGAGATAAAGGAAATCTATTTTCTTGCTTCATGTAGGAACTTTCACCAAAATCTCTCACCAACCCTCTTCTCCCAGGGAACCTTCAGTAATCATAAGTATAGATAATTCCTGAGATTAATAAAACCCTAAGACGGGCACTGGTATCTCACGCCAGTAATCCTAGCTACTCAGGAGGCTGAGATCTGAGGATCATGGTTCAAAGCTAGCCCAGGCAGGAAAAGTCCATGAGGCTCTTATATCCAATCAATCACCAGAAAACCAGAAGTGATGCTGTGGCTCAAGTGGTAGCGTGCTCTCCTTGTGCTGAAGAGCTGAGGGACAGAGTTTAAGCCCCATGACCAACAAAAAAATAAAAACAACAACAACAACAAAACCAAATAGGCTGACATTGGTAAACTATGGGTGGAAGCTATACTATGTGACTATTATTTAGAAATGAAAGTTTTCTCATAGTACCACTAATAGAAATACTTTACTTTCTTTTTATTATTATTATTATCCTTAAGTAGTTGAGCAAAGTGGTTAAAATTCAACATGCCAGTTTGTGAGTACAATGCAGCTTGATCAAAGTCACCTTGTTCATCATTCTCTTTTTCCCAACACCATCAATTTTTTAGTTGTGGTAATTCAAGCTTCTTGCTAATGATGCCCAAGTTATGTATCTATGTATGTATCTATGTATGTACGTATGCACTTACTTACTTAATAGTATAGGTGTCTATGTGTGTGCACGTCTATCTCAATTTACGTAACTTTTATTGGGGACTCTGGAGAAAAGGCTTCCTCTTTAAAAATCAGTCTATATTGATTTTTACAAAGGCTTCATTGTGATCTTTCCATATGTGCATAGACTGTATTATGATCAACTTCATTCCTTCTTATCCTTGCCCCCAGTTACTTTTTAGTAGGTATCACGCTACTGTTTTCATAGGTTTATATAACTGCATTACTTTCATCTTCCCCCACTTTCTAGTTTGTATTCCCCCTATAAGTCCAATAGTTACAACCTAAATTGCTAAATTAATATTCATGTCTGTTTTTAACTCTTCAGTTGGAAATATTTACAGTTATTTGGCAATGTGGCCACATTGAATGAACCTAGTTGAATGAACATCAGGTGAAATTGGGTGGGTTTTTTGTGCTAAAACACAATCATAGGGAAAAGAAGTAGGTATTTGTGAACTACCAACTGGGTAGTAATTTTATCTAGGTTTTCTCAATGATTACATACCAGTGTGATTTTAAACCTTATTATTTAATTAGTTGTGTATTATTCTCCTGTGTTTATTATAAGTGACCTTGAAACCATGACTTTACAGTTGAAGTACTCCATTGGTCACTTCAATTACAATGATGAAGTTTCCCTTTTCCAGTCCTTTAATCTCTGCCAGTTATTGATGTTTTTCAAAGCTATATCTCTGAGTTGATGAACTAGAACTATGTTTTACCTCTTTTTATTTTCCTTCTGTTTCTGGGATAGTGTTTTCATTCTTTGATGGTTGTTATAATCATAGGTTTAGTTTTGAATTACAAACATAAAGTAATCACTGAAAAGACATAGTAGTCTTTCTCAAAATGTCTAACATCCTTTCCTACCAAGTATGTTAAGAGTTAATACTTGCTTCTTTATTTTAGATTACTGAAATCAACACATGACTTTCCTCCTTTTTTCTATGACTCTTGTTTTAATGCATGACAAAATCTTCTTGCTTACTGCTCTGTCATTGGCTGTCTTTTAACTTGAGTGTCCTGTGTTTGTGATTGCTTTTTGCATGAGAATTATGAAATGTCATATAAATTAAATGGTTGTGAAAATGAAAAGAGAATGTGGGGGCTTTACTTGCTTTTTTGTATGTGCTGAGTATGTCTATTATGTGACACTTAAAATTACTTTCATATACCCTTTGACTTCCCCTTTGGTTTTCTCCTTTATCTTAGCAAATTAATATTGTTAAAAATAATATAACATTTATTAAACATTCACAGTATTTTAATACAATTATTCATCTAAAACATGATCCTATTATAAATAACTAAACTGGGCATGAAATTACAAGAGGGCTTATTTCCATTATATTTCAAAAAAGAACTATAGAATATAAGCCCTGACTCTGTAACTACATTAATAACTAAACACTGATTTCTAGTGATGGTACCTTTTCCCTGCCAAGTGATGCGATTATCTGTTGAAGCATTTGTGCAGGTGGCAACTGTCTTAAATCCACTGATAATATTTAAATGAAAACACATGGGGGAATATTTGTGTAATGACAAGTAATTTTAAAAAGTCACAGTTTTTTTAAATATATGAATTAAAAATGTGTAAAATCCAAGTGTTAATGCTCTTACAAAAACAGAAGAAAATAAACAGAAATAGGAATAATCTCAAAATGTTCATATCTCTATTTTCCCTAATGTTATTATCTTGTCCCAAGTTTGAAGAATGAATATGACCTACTTTCTTTATTGTTATTGCCAATTAAAATTAGAGAAGACACTGAATAAATTAATTTCTTTCAGCTATTAAAACTGTTTACTTTTTGTATAAAGTGGGTGTTCTTTTACAAAGTAATTTCTTTCCCTTATGACTAAAACTTCAAACCCTAATGTATTTTTTTTGCACTGAATATGTTCACAAATTGATTGTGTGAGATATTTTGGGAAAAAGTGTATTTTTTTCTTAAAAAAATGATCAACTATGATGTCATCACTTCCCTAATCTTTTTGGAAATACTCTTGAGAATTTTAGTACTTAGAATTATTTTTTCCCCCTCAGTCTTGTTTATTCTTGAATTGTCTTTTTTTTTCCCTCCATTTCTCCATTCTCGATCCTAGGTCCCCTTACAAAGAAACACACAGATGATTTAGGTGATAATGACGGTGCTGAAGATGAAGGTATTTTTTTTCCACCAACTATTTGCATGACCAGGGCTTCAATCACTTTTGCCACACCTTCCTATTTTTTTCTTCTTGTCTTTTTTTTGTTTTTTTGAAGAGTTGTTTTAAATTCCCGTTTTTGATGTGTTTTGTCTTCTTGCTTGTTGTTGCACATAAATATACATTTTAAATTTTTTTATAAAAAATTGAATGTTAAGTTTTACATTTTGATGCCAACCATTAAAATGTTTTTTAAATGAGAGGGGCATTTTTTTCTTTTCTTGAACTGACTTTTGATATGTTGCATCCCACATTTTGACAAATTTGTCCACATTCTTTGAACTAACAATCTTTCCCTTATAGTCTTTCTGTGCCCATTTGCATGTTTTCTAATCTGTGTAAATATTTCAGCCCTATCAAAGTGTGTTCATTTTTACATCCAACATTTGTTTTAAAAAGAAGCCCATGCCCAATAAAAATAAAAGTCAAACTGAAAGCTGACACCAAGTGTTTCTTGAGCAATATGTTTTCCATTTAAAAGTACTATTTCCTTTTTCTTTGCTTAAATGTTATATAAATCAAAAGAAATTATGCAGATATCAAAATGTTTAACACCTACTCAGGTTGTGGAATAAATATTGTGCAGACAATTAAGTGCTAGGAGTTGTAAAGAGCTATTTTAGGTAAAGGTTATAAATGCTCTCAGAAAACATGATTAAATTGCAATCTTTTAGTTTATAACTGGTAATATTTACTAGATTGGAAAATAATATATTATGATTTTCAAAGTGCAGTCGTTCATAAGCAACAAAATATTTCCTACTTCATTAATATAAAAATGATTTCCTTTTTCTTATGACATACAGTTCTGATTTATTTTCTAAACCCCAATATCAGTAGATTAGTGACATTTCTTACCCTTTGGGTTCTTACTTAGAATTTAATTAAGGATCTAGGCAGGGATCAGTGATACTTTTATCTCATTTTGGTTCCATATCAAATGTGAATTTCCTTTTTTTTTTTTTTTTGGCCAGTCCTGGCTTGAACTCCAGGACTGGGCTCTATTCATAAGCTTCTTTTGTGCAAGACTAGCACTCTATCACCTGAGTCACTGAGCCACTCTGGCTTTTTCTGAGTAGTTTATTGGACATAAGAGTCTCATGGACTTTTCTGCTCCAGCTATCTTTGAATTGCATTCTTCAGATCTCAGCCTCCTGAGAGGTTAGGATTACAGACATGAGCTACCAGCACCCAGCATTTTTCTTTATTTTAATGTTACCCTAGATTTACTAGTGATTCCTCAAACCTAGAAATTAAATCACATAAAGCTATTAATATTGTGTTAAAGTGGTTTTTAAATAAAATAATCTACAACCAGGTCAACAGTATTGCTAGTTCCATTAGTTATAAGTGAATGACTCTTTCCTAAACAATCTGCATTGTTTGAATTTTACTTTTCTATTGTGATACAGTAAATCTTCCTGCAGTAGAAAATTATATTTAATATTAATATTTTAAAGGAAATTTATATCTGATTACAATTTTCATTTGTCATATACTCAGGTAGTACATTAAAGATTAAATGTAAAACAAGTACTAATATTTGAATCGTTGTAACTGCCCAAGAGATACCATTTTAAAGACTTTTAGATTAAAATAAATATAATCACAACATGAAAGTTGTGAATTTTTAAATACCATTGGACATTTTGTGAATTCAAAAGAGATTGATTGACTTCTTAAGGCAGTTATAATTCCCAGTGACCTAAAAGAGCCTGTTTCCTCTCTCAGGCTTTAGAACTTGTTGTACCCTCTGAAAATCTTATTTCTTCTGTATTTCTCACCTAAATAATAATTAAATTATGAAGGAGCTCAGTGTGTATCTTTGTAAACTCTAAAATATACTAATATCACAAGTTTGAAATATGTCATCTCCCTCTTTTCAAAATATATTGCTTGCTGTTTTAATATGATTCATTTTTTTCATTTGGTATAAAGTAACAAACATCGTATTTACATATTTAGAATAGATGTCCCCAAGCTGCCACAACAAGTTAAGCCCTGTAAACATGAATCTACTAAATAGATCTGCTTTGAAGCACATTTAACATTTTTAATTAGCCATTAAAAATATTCTAACCTCCTATTAAAATTGACAGGGACTATTCAGGTTAAGTACTAAACCACTCAGTCACAAGAGTTATCAAATAAATATTTTTTAATGCTCTAAAGTGTAGAATGTTTAACCATTCATTTCTAGTCCAGTCGGCTCTCTCTTCTTTTTTGGATAATTGTTGTGAAGAAAAGAAAGATGAATTCAAAAAAATACCCCATGAGAAGGAAATTGTAGAAAGGCCTGAATATCCCCTACTCAATTATTTTTAAGAATCATTTTGTAGAGGTAGGGGTGAATAAAAACTAGATTAATTTTTCACACTTAATTTGTTCCAGGTGTTGAATTCCTGCCCTGAATATAAAGCCAATTGTAAATTATTTGATATATTACTCTTTTTTGTTCCTTCACTCTGAAATAAGTTATTTGACTAGTTACCTGAAATTCTCCTTTATTTCCTGAAATGTGTACAACTTTCCCTGCTACCAGAACTCTGTTTCTCAGACATTCAGTAAGCCCTTTATGTTATTTCCTTAAGCCTTAGAGAACACACCTCTCAGCAGAAACCACTACCCATTTCAAATTCTGTGGGTCTCTGCCATCATCTTTTTACTATCTCTAGATTAAACACAGTGGTATCATTTTTCTCTTGGTTTTTTAAATAAGTATGTGAGGAGTCTATCTTATAGGTTGTTTCCATTGTTTTAAAAAGATATTCTAAGCTGGGAGTTTATGGCTTATGCCTGTAATACTAACTACTCAGGAGAATGAGATCTGAGGATTGCAGTTTGAAGCCAGTCCAGCCAGGAAAGGACGTGGTACTCTTATCTCCAGTTAACTACCAAAATGCCTAGAAGTGGAGCTATGGCTGAAGTGATAGATCACTAGTCTTGAACAAAATAAGTTCAGTACATAAAGTGCCCAGGCCCTGAGTTCAAGCCCCAGGACCAGCACACACACAAAAAAAATAAATAAAAAATAAATAGGCTAAAGGAATACTCCAGATTCTACCAATTTAGTGTAGGGATTTTAGGAGACTTAATTTATTATTTACTTTGCTAAGAATAACCTAATTTTAACTTTATTATCTAAATATAATTTTACACTCTACATAGAACACTAAAGAGATGCTCTGTAGATTTTGTGTGTCTTTTAACTAAAACCCTGTCTCTATATTATATCCAGTTTCAACAGGCACAAATTAAGGCAACAATTCTACATCAATTTTTGTGGTTCTGAATGATAACTGAGGCCCATAAAAATTCGAGTGGGTGTCACAAAAATATCCTTTTATGAATCAGAGAAAGATTTAATTGAGGCAATGCCTCACAAGTTTAAAACTGTTAAAACTAAAAAATATAGCCAATTACCCACTTTATGAGTCTTTAAGAAGGAAGAAACCCATAAACATATTTAAGGAGTTATGTGACTAATAATTATTCACCAGAACTATTAAAGGGAATTGTCTCCCAAATCTTATTTGTCAGGCACAAAATAATAATAAGTACATTAGACCTATTGACTCTTGCTATGATGGTATAATTTTTAGGTTTATTAGCAGGATGACATTGCTCCTAAAGGTTAAAATCCACGTTTCTACTCAGAACAAGTTGGTTCTTTTATTAACAGGAAAACTTAATTAAAATACATTCCTGAAAATTTATAAGAAAACTAATCAGCAATAGAAAATTTTCCCCTTGAGCATTTCACTACTATGAATTATGGGTGTTTTCCACGGCTGGAAACATTAGAAATAATAGAAAGCAAGCCATTCATGATGAACTACTTTGGTTTTACTGGAAATAAGCTGTTTTTTAAGGTCTCTGAGAGACTTCTGATAATTTTAGTAAAGTCAGTAGGTGCTGTTAGGGCAAAATGAAAATTCTTAGATTAAATTTATATATAATTTGCAACATTATATAGAGTTGGTTAAAGAAGAGTCTGCCTTTAAAATAACTGTTTTAAAAATTCAATATAAATTACTAAAGTACATTTAATGTATTCAACTGAAGACAAATATCCTCTAAAATGCGATTATTAAAATTATGGTCTGAGCAGATAGTATCAATGCCAGTTCACTGCTGTATCCATTTTACTCATAAAAATCTTTCAAAGAAAGTAAATATTACAATATGAAATTTTATATTTCATATTAAATATAATATGTAATACAGTATTATTATGTGATATGATTACAGTCTCTCACCTATAGTCCTAATTACTCAGGAGGCTGAAATCTGAAAATCATGATTCAAAACCAAACTGGTCAGGAAAATCCATGAAACACTTATCCCCAATTAACCACCAAATAGCAGGAAGTGAACCTGTGGTAGAGCACCAGCCTTAAACATAAAATCTAAGACACAGAGCACAGGTCCTGAGTTCAAGCCCTAGTATGGGCACACACACGCACACACGCACACACGCACACACGCACACACACACACACACACACACACACACACACACACACACACACACACACACACAGAGTCTAAGACAAACCAGTCTGATAAAGTCCTTTCCTTATTCCAATTATTTTACATTCAAAGGTTTCCAAAGATTGTGAAGTTTCTTAATATTTCTTAGCAGTGCTGAGGATACTAATATCCACTAATTTAACCTATTTTAGTAATTAATACTCCTTACAGCATTTAATTAATGCTCCATACAGCATCAAGCTCAGTCTCTTCAAGCCAACTATTTTTTCTCTAGCACAGAACTTTCTGGAAAAGAACTATTAAATGCACTCATTTGAGACAAGGCAGAAACCTTTGAAAAGATGGAAAAGACAAATTTAAAATTAGAATCAACCATCAAGATGCAATTCTTTCAAGTCTGATTTCAAATGGAAATATAAAAGATTTTGCTAAAAAAAATTCTTAGCTTCATTTGCCATATATCCAGGATTTTCTGACATTGTCCACTTTTTTCTGGTATTAGGTATAAAATGTGGCATGTCTCCTCAATGTGGCTCTACATTATTTTCCAGGTGAGCCGAATGGTTCTATCAAGATTTCATTACTGCTCACAGTTGGCGCTTTGTAATTCTATGTAATTTTAATTAAAGAAGAATTCTGAAGCAGCCTCCCTCTGTGCTACCTCCAAGCATACAATTAGCAGAGTACAATGTCTGCTGTGAACAGCCAGTTAATGATTTCAGTTTAATAATTTATTATTGCTTCTCCAGCACCAACCAGACTAGGAAAAATATGAAGCTAAAGCTGTATGCAACAAACAGGCATTTAAGGTGCACAGTTTTAACAATTTCAAAAGGAATGCTTCATGTAGGTTTGACATCTTCACAAGCTCCAAATCTTTACACAGGAGAGAATACCATTTTCCCTTCAAAGACATTCCAGGAGAAAATAAATGTAGGTTTCCCTCTTAAATGTAGCTGTGTCTAGCTGATGACTTTCTTTGTCAAAGCATCCTCCTCTAAGTATTTAGAAACAAGGCATTCTTCTGGAGTACACCCATGGGGGTGGGAGGCGTGCCTGTAAGTTTATACACTAGTATTAAGTCAATTTAAATGAGTCTTTAAAAAGTCTTTAATATCTGCCAGGAACCAATTCCTCAATTTGAAAATCTAGACAAACATGTTAAGCTGCAATTCTGATCCTTAGAAGAATTTTGTTTTTAAGAAGTCATTGTCTTATTACAGCAAAAATTGATACATTTAAATTAGTCCTTGTTTTCTGGAAATGTAAAATAGACTAAATAATTGACAGGTCTTTCAAGCAAATTTGTATATTAGTACATTTTGAAAGCCTTGCTTCACTATTAAAGTTAAAGGAGATTTTAATTTGATAAAAGGCAAAAAAATCCTAAGGCAAAGTAATAAAAACTATACTTTTAGGAGAGAGAATGATAGAAAGGGTGACACTAATCAACATCTATTATACTCATAAACTTACATAAATTACAACTACTTAAAGATAAAACTTAATTAAAAACTAAAGTAAAAAATAAACTAAACTTTTATATGATAATTTCAATATAGGTGTCAGAAAAATATACTTAATGTAATTTTAATTTTGAATTAAAGAGAACATAGGCTTCCACATAATAGTAATGTTTTACTCTTAGATTCATAGCTATACATTCACACACACACACACACATATATATATATATATACATATATATATAAAACATTTAAATTTATATGATTGAACCAATATAGAGGTTAGAATTTTTTTCTATAGATGTCAGTACACATTTAGCACTGACTAATATTGTTCTGTTTTCTTTTTACTTTAATTCCACAACCTTGAAAACACTGTAGTTTGAGTCAGTAGATCTTAGAAAATTAAATGCATTAGACTGATATATAGAATTAAAAAAAAATCTTTACATCAGACTATTTTTATTTTATACTAGAACTTAGCTTTCTATGTCTTCTGCCTGCCTGATTAAGAACACAGAATGAGAGTAAAGGCAAGAAAAGTACATTAGCTACAGGGAGAAGTAAAGAAAAAATATATTTTGTTGTTCTCCCAAATATTAAGGTATGTAGGAAGAATGAATTGGCCTGGATTTGTAAAGAACCACATTGAAATAACATTCCCATAAATGCAACAATAACTGGTATTCATACACATGACTTTACTCAGTCAACCTTCATTCAATGATACTTAAACTGTAAAATTAGACTTTTTCAATAAATCATACAATACTATAATTATGTTCATAATCAGGAGCACATCAATCATGTTGCCTTTGATACAAAGTTGTACAAGTAAATAAGAGGTATAACAACCAATTATTTTGCTCACAAGAACAATTATATCATTTTCCTTAGTTTCTGGCTCATAAATTCCTAGTGAGATCTGCAACACTGATAAAAAGTAGTTTGAAAGTAACAGTTATTTATTTTTTTTTGGTATAACTACCACTTCAGGAATTAATCAAAATGCACTAAAATTTGTACTTTTCTTTTTGACCACATTTTGCAATTGAGTTTATAACTTATAAACAAAATCTCATGTGGCAAACAATGGAAGCCTATTGCTCTTTTCTTCAGTAGCACTTAATATGAGTTGCTTAAGAAACACTTGAAGAAAAACAGCAATTTAAAAACCTATATCAAAATCATTCCCTCTTGTCCCTAAAGTGGAAAACTGTAGTTTCTGTTTCCTTTTTTTTTTTTCTTTTTTGAGGATAAGAACAATTGCCAACCATTTGTTTTTCAGATATTCGGGACAGTGGGGGTCCAAAGCCAGTGATGGTGTATATTCATGGAGGCTCATATATGGAAGGTACTGGAAATTTATACGATGGGAGTGTCTTGGCAAGCTATGGCAATGTGATTGTCATCACAGTCAACTACCGACTTGGGGTACTTGGTAAGGAATATCTTTTTGTTTTATCATTAGTCCATTAAATACTTGATCTCTTTTGACTTTGGTTTTGCTTTCCTTTAACTCTTGACTTTTGGGAATTGAACTGTTTGATAGTTCCAACGAGTTCTATAAATGCTCATACATCATGCACAGACCAGCAGGGAAGATTTTCAAGTGTGAAACTGACAGGTAATGAAATCATTCTCATTGTTGCCAAAGTACTTCTTGGCTTTGCTTAACAGATCCAATGAAAAGCCTTTACTAAAAAGTCTCTGGACAAACTTTGATCTTCCTCTACTTTTCTCCTCCTTCCTTCCTTCCTTCCTTCCTTCCTTCCTTCCTTCCTTCCTTCCTTCCTTCCTTCCTTCCTTCTTTCCTTCCTTTCTACCTTCCTTCTTTCCTTCCTTGCTTGCTTCCTTTCTTCTTTCCTTCCCTTCCTTTCTTCCCTTCCTTCTTTCCTTCATTCCTTTTTTCTTTCTTTCTCTTTCTTTCTTCTTTCTTTCTCCTTCCTTCCTTCCTTCTTTCCTTCCTTCCTTCCTTCCTTTCTTTCTTTCTCTTTTTTCTTTCTCTCTTTCTTTCTTTCCTTCCTTCTTTTCTTCTCTTTCTCTTTCTTTCTCTTTCATTCTTTCTTTCTACAATGTTATAAAGTTGCCTGAAGTTTGCTATGGATTTAGAAGCAAGTTTATTTTCTCTTTGGGAATATATGGTATATGGACTGATTTTGGGGAATGATCACTTACTATTGCCCTATAGGAATATTTTCTCTGTATTTGATGTATTCTTTAAATTTGAAAATCAAATATTAAATTCATAAGGTGATGGAAAGTCCATTAATTTTTACTGTTCCTAAAAAAATCATAAAGTCAAAGTAGAGATTCTTGGTTTTGAAAAATAAAGTATGGGAAAATATTATTGGCAGAATATCTTTTCATGTAGTTTGAGGGAGGCATTAGCAATGGACAAAGCTCAGTGATAAAGTTTGCTATTTTACCAACTAAATTTCTTATAATGTTGGCACAATTTGAGTGTAAAATCATTGTTTCATTAAAAAGTTTCATCTGTTGTATTTCAGTTAATGCAATTTAATAAAAGATCACAATTCATCCATGAAAGATTTTATTCTTTAATCTTAATTGTGCTCAAAGATTTCATTCCATCCTACACAGAGGTATAATTTATCATTTTGTTTAGACAAAGAACTATATCACTCTTAAACTCTTTTATTTTAAAATATTTTGAAAGAGAACTATGATGATATATTCTTTCATAATCATTTATAATATTATATATTTTGCCAGGTCTCCAACTCTCATGCAGTTATAATTCTATATTTATTTTAATCACATATGTAATGTGATTAGTTTTTTTGGGGGGTGGTCTGGTCATGGGGCCTGAACTCTGGGCCTGGGCGCTGTCCCTCAGCTCTTCAGCTCAAGGCTAGCGCTCTACCACTTGAGCCACAGTGCCACTTGCAGTTTTTGTTTTGTTTTTCTGCTTATATGGTGCTGAGGAATCAAACTCAGGGCCTCATGCATGCAAGGTAAGTGCTCTACAACTGAGCCACCTTCTCAGCCCTATGATTACTTTTTGTAATTAAGTTTATATGTATTCAGGAAGGAGAATCTTTAAGAATATGATTGTGAAGTCTTAATCTTTTCGTAGATTGCTATTTTGAAATTTGGATTGCGTTAGTCATTTCAATACAAGCATAAACATGTTTGTAGTCCTGTAGAAGTAGACATTAGTTCTATTTCAGGGTCAAATTATGTATTGTTTCAGATGATTTTATAATTTTAATGTGCAGAAATAAGTGTGTTGTTACCAAGAGAAACTGTGAACATTAGAAGATACATAGATATGCTCATACTTATTCTGAAGTCTTATTATTTGTAATCTTCTGGAATATGAGTGCTTTAAATATCTACAATGCTTTTCATTTCAATGATAAAATTGTTTATAATTTTTAAAATTTTGGTTATTACTCTCTTATTTTCCTGAATTTCTCAAGTTACAACTCCTGAGTTGTGCTGAGTTTTCAAACTGAAAGTGTTAAATTAAGTAAAATAGTGTTAAAAAGTTTTAAAGATTTGAACATCCAGCTAGTCATGGACATGTGTTTTTTTTTAAAAGTCCTCATATTGCCTTTTTCATTTATTATGTATGCTTGCATATAACACAATTCCATAAAATAGACTTTATTGTTACAGTAGCCATTTGCTTTTTTCCTTTCTTTATGTTTGTCTCTAACTTATTTAGAACTGGTGGGCTGTTGGCATTGATCCATTCATGCCTAAATTCCAAACTGTGGTTCGGGATGTGGGACAACAAATTAACAAGCTAAATACAAGAAGAGCACAGTCAAGTGCTTGGACTGTACAATTTTGAACTGTTGGTGTTGATGGATTTCTTGGTTGTTAATGTTTGTTCTGACTCTCTTGCACTCCTAGTTTTGTCTTTAGTTGCTCCTGTATTCCTGTTAACTACCTCTCAGAAACAGCCAAGGTAGTCCTTTATTGTTCTCTCAATCTGACAAACCGCAAAACTGCATGTAAATCATTTTATGCATATTTTAGCACATTAATTCTAGAATGAATGGATTCTGATCACTTTCTTCCAGATATATATATATATATATATATATATATATATATATATATATATATATATATATAATATTGGGCCTTATGAAATGAATTTAAATGGATTAGTTCATAAAAAAGAAATTACCAGAAACTTTGTTTCAGCAACCTTACCATAAGTGGCACACATTAATCAATACCAGCAGTGAGTCACACAGAACCATCACAATGAGAGCTGCAGAATTTTGTGATGGTTGTAAACAACTTATTTAACAGTAACAAGGTAAGTCAAGCTCTCTTGAGTGTGTGATCCAAAAGTATTGATGTCAAGGTCTTACATGGATAAATTCTTAGAGAAAAGGCTTGTTCCCACATCTGAGGAAATCCTGAAATCTATTCAATTCAGGTGTATTGTTGTGAAAGAAAATAATTCCAGATTCCAATATGCAAGTTGCAGAATTATACTACAATTGTTCTAACCTGAGTGGTGAACCAATCAGTTTGATATTGCCACTCAAGTGAGGAAAGTGTATAAGTTTCATCTTTTGATTTTTGGTGATAAGTACAAATGTAATAAAAATTCAGTTATAAAATTCATATCTCTAAACATTCTTTAAATAGTCTAGTCTAAAGCATTTCACACTTTAAAAAGTTACAAATTTCCAAGTAGGAGCAGTATAATGGAAAATATAATACCTCTTCTAATAGCGTTGCTCTGATGATCTCATGCAAACAGTTCAGATTCTTATCACAACGTTTTTGTGGTGCTATAGAGATTCCTCAAAAACACTAGAAATGGAACTCTCATAATACTATCACATAGTCCAGCAACACCATTCTTGGACATTTATCCAAGATTGCTGGAAGCATATAATAAAGATGTTTATGCATCCATATTCATTGCTACAGTATTTCTCACAACCCAGTCATGGAAACAGCCTAAATACTCTAGATTGAAAATGAATAAAAAATATGGCATATATATATTACATCATATATAATGCATTTGTAATGATTATATGCTATTTATCTTATATGTACAATATGTAATTAAATCACATGTGAAATATGCAACTGTAAGTAATTTTATTTCATATATTTTTCATTAGTAGATATGTAATTATATTACATATATAATATATGCAATAGAAATTTATTCAGTTATGAGGAAAAATAATGTCATTTTTAGGGAAATGACTGAGAGACACAAACTTCACGTTTTTTCTCATATGTAGAAGGTAGATCTAATATAAACAAATATAGGGGACCTGTATGGCTATATGAAGATATACACAATCAAATTGGCTAAAGTATGGTGTATACAGAGGTGAATTCCCTTGTTGGACAATGTATGAACAATTTAACCAAATGAATATCAGGATGCTGAAACATGCATGGCTGTGAGAAGTGGGTTTTAAGGGGAACAGGGCAAATGAATGGAGGGAAGAAGAATAGACAAATGTAGCTATAATACTCAGTGTGCATTTGCCAAAAAGGCATCATGAAGGGGTAGGCAGTGTTGGAGTAGATCAGGGAGCATGATGGGAGCTGTGACCATCGATCAAGATGCATTGATCAAGATGCAGTGTACTCATAAATTGATGTGTTGAATTGAAACCCCTTTGTGCAAGTACTTAAAGAGAATCCATTTTTAAAATTCTCTTTGGCTTTCTCCTGAGTGGTAACATGAATCAGTTCTATGACTGTGTGGTATCTGATTTATCCCTTTGTAAATACTATGGCAATGATAAGGAGAGCCACTGGTAAAGTTGACAAACAGGCCAGCAGCTGTAAGGTTCTACCTCTGACCTCACTTCTTCAGCTTTACCTTAAAACTCCTGGTGACCCTACCTCGGCTCCTAAACTGACCATTTAAGCTTTCTCACACTTCTTGCTAGTTACATTTTGACACATACTCCACATTTGCATCCCTCAGCATGCACATCTTTATTTATTTAATACATCCTCTCTGTATCCTTTAAAATGTACGGCTAATAATTGCTAGTTGGGTGACTATTAATGTTCTAGTGTATGGATGATTAAAAGGGTCATCTTGGCAACTTAAGGAGAAATGCTTTGATTATGTATTATTTTTTTCAAATTTTTCATCTTTACACCTTTTTGTTAGCATCAATTAGTAGTGCAACAGGGTTTCAATTTGACATGTCCATATATAGACAGCCTACTTTAACTAGACAAAAACTTTCAATCATTCTCTCCCATCACCCTTCCCATTCACAATCTTCACTATATTTTTAAAGAGAAAAATAACTGTTATTAAATGTTATGATTGTAACCAGAAATTGTGCATTCTTATGAGCAATATCTAGAGGGAGAATAATATCAATCATTCAGTTTGGATGGGGTACTGGGCACTAAATATTCCTGAAAATAGAAACTACTCAAATGATAATATAAATTACC